CATTTTTTACAGTGTAGCCATAGAGACGGGAGTGTGTGTTTGTATGTGTGAGAGAGACTCAGCGAGCACAGCCTAGCCATAGAGACGGGAGTGTGTGTTTGTATGTGTGAGAGAGACTCAGCGAGCACAGCCTGGCCATAGAGACGGGAGTGTGTGTGTGTGTGTGTGTGTGTGTGTGTATGTGTGAGAGAGACTCAGCGAGCGCAGCCTGGCCATAGAGACGGGAGTGTGTGTTTGTATGTGTGAGAGAGACTCAGCGAGCACAGCCTGGCCATAGAGACGGGAGTGTGTGTGTGTGTGTGTGTGTGTGTGTGTGTGTGTGTGTGTGTGTGTGTGTGTGTGTGTGTGTGTGTGTGTGTGTGTGTGTGTGTGTGTGTGTGTGTGTGTGTGTGTGTGTGTGTGTGTGTGTGTGTGTGAGAGAGAGACTCAGCGAGCGCAGCCTGGCCATAGAGACGGGAGTGTGTGTGTGTGTGTGTGTGTGTGTGTGTGTGTATGTGTGAGAGAGACTCAGCGAGCACAGCCTGGCCATAGAGACGGGAGTGTGTGTGTGTGTGTGTACTCACAGCCTAAGACCTACACACACACTCACTCACAGCCTAAGACCTACACACATGTATCTAATGTTCAATATTGTTTGTTTTTGTTTTTAATTATTTATAAATCCTTATTATTTTATTTATTCATCTTTGTTTATTTTATTTTTATTGTTTTATGATATCAGTATTATCGGGGTGGTGATGGCGCAGTGGATAAGACATGCCTTTAGTGTGAGAGACCCGGGTTCGAATCCACTGTGAGACACCAATGTGTCCCTGAGCAAGACACTTAACCCCTAGTTGCTCCAGAGGCGTGCGACCTCTGACATATATGGCAATTGTAAGTCGCTTTGGATAAAAGCGTCAGATAAATGTAAATGTATTATTATTTTTGTGTGCTAAATGTTCTAAATCATTTTCTATGTTGTTTTGATGCTTTGGCAATACAAAATGTATTTTTTTGTCATGCCAATAAAGCTTTCTGAATTGAATTTAATTGAAAATTGACTCGTGTGTGTGATGATCATGTTCATAAACTGCAGGAACACACATGGATTTGGTGTAAAATTTGGGGATTAACAACGACGTTTCACTCCAACTACAGTAAAAATATTCTCAAAGTCTCACAGCAGATATTCAGATTAATATACTGAAGCTGGTCTTGTAGATGTAATCAGAACTGAATTGAATGATATAATCTTTAACATTTTGACTATAGAGGATACAATATTATGAAAAACATTAATTTTTACTCTATTCTCACTTCAGTAATTGTGTTTTGTGTCTGTTAATGAGTGACTGTCTTCAGGGAAATGATGTGGAGTGTGTTTGCATATTGATCAGATCTTCAGTGTGTGAGAGTGTTTATAGTGCTGTGAGTTTAACACTTCATCACTGACACACACAACAATCTTCATCAACATGACCTTCATCATCATCTTCATCTGGACTCTCACAGCGTTTGCTCAAGGTTTGTGGAGAACAAGTTTGATATTAATTCATTTCTTCAATATATTGTCAAAGTTTTGAGTGTATTTTCTTGTTGTGTGTTTCAGAGTGTAGAGGACAGATCACCGTCACTCAGAGTCCCTCAATAACAGCAGAACAACCAGGAGGAACTGTGAATATCAAATGTAAAACCAGCAGTGATGTGTACGGTGGAAATTGTTTAGCCTGGTACTTACAGAAACCTGGAGAAGCTCCTAAACTCTTGATTTATTACGCAAACCGCCTCCAGTCAGGAACTCCATCTAGATTCAGTGGCAGTGGATCTAACAGTGATTTCACTCTGACCATCAGTGGAGTCCAGACTGAAGATGCTGGACATTATTACTGTCTGAGTTTATACTGGCCTGAGAGCATTATGTGGTTCACACAGTGATAAAGAGTCGTACAAAAACCTCCGTCAGTCAGAGTCACAGTGACTGAACTGAAACTGCAGCTGCTCAAACACACACACACACACACACGCACACACACACACACACTCAACAGTGAAGAAACGAATCAATATGATCTTATTGAACATCACTTTGTTGAGATTCATCAGTTTTTGACCTTTTTGATTGTGATTTTTCAGGAATGACATTTGTCTCCTGTTTCCTATTACATCCTTTATGTAGAAATTCAGTCACTTTTGATTTTCACTTCAGTGGATATTCTTCAATTCATTCAAAACATTTTGATTTTCTGCATTGATGATTTAATATATTGTTTTTTTTTATAAACTGCACCATCAGCATCTTAATATATGTTGAGCAGTTTAATAAGTCAAAGGATTTATTAAATGAATGACACACACACACACACACACACACACACTACTGACACTCAGAGGACAAACACAGAAACTACACATGTGCACAAAATGACTTATGACTGAAATTAACTCTATTAGACTGATCTGATCTGTGACAGACGAGTTTGACTCTAATATTCTCAGAATCAGAGAAAACTGAGTGTGTAAACTGATATAAATCAAACAAACAACAGTGGCGCATTATTTTGTGGGGTTTTTTTTTGTACATTAAACTACACAGTAAAGTGTAACCTACATAAATATGTTCTTGAACCTTTTTCAAGCTCCTTCATCTCAAACTAATGAAATTATTATTCATAACTCATCCCTCCATCAGCAGAAGTGAAACTGTTCCAGTTCAGAGCGTTGAACCAGTAAAAGAGAGAAACTGTGAGTTTGAGGTGAAAATCTCATTTGCATTGTCAGGTTTAGTGATTGTGATGTCTCAGAATAGAGCAGCTCGTCTCCAGTGACCATGTTCAAACCCCAAGAGCTTCATTTGACATTTACTGCTGAATGCAGCTGTTCTCAACTATTACAATCAATCAAAAGCAGCTGAAACTTTAGTGCAGGACTTTGAAGGAACGACACACTGATCAATGATGCAGTCACACACACATGTAAGCTTGCGTTCAGATGAAGCTTTATTGAATGAACAGCAATGGCAGCACATTGACAGACTGCTTCAGTATTGAGCTGTAAATCACGTGCCGCTCAGATACGCTGGTCTTCACTGGAGAAACATCAGCACTCGGAGCTCTTGAGGAACGAGGCCTCGTGAGCAGCTCCGGCATGTGTTCCTCTGCAGACCAAGTGCTCTCTGCCTTCCCAGCGTGCTTTGCTGAGGCTCAGGACGCTGCTGCGACTGTAGAGACCGCCCCGCTCGCTCTCTGCGCTGGTCTGAACCCCCTCGGTGACCTCTGACCCGTCCAGCGTCCAGCTCACCGTCGCCCCCTGTGGAGAGTAAGAGCTGAGCAGGCAGAGCAGAGCGGAGGAGTCTCCAGAGACCAGCAGAGACACGGAGGGAGACACGGAGGGCCCGGCTGAACACACACACACACACACACACACACACACACACACACACACACACACACACACAGTTAGTTAGATGTCATGTAGTAAAAATCACAATAATTATATCTTTACAGAAATTCCACATAACTGTTTTCATTCATAAAGCACAAATATCCTGAATTCAGTTTAAAATATTCTCAGTTAAATCAATATTCACTAATACTCAAATATGTATGTAATCATGTAATTCTAAATATAAATCAGTTCTGTAAAGCAGACATGATATACAGAGAATCTTACAGTAATTTGATATTTTCTGAATAATCATTTCATCATTAATTGTATTTTGAAAAATTCTTAAGACTCTCACAATCATAATGATCAGCAAATTTCAGTTCAAATGATGAATTTTTCAAATCTTTCTATTTGTCTGATGGCGACGCCTAAAAAATATAATTATTTTATCCGTATAATCAAACTTTTGTGTCATGGATTTCAAAAAGTATTAGCAGTTACATTTACCAAGAATTATGGACACAAATATGTACTTAAAAAAACCTGAATATGACAGAAAATATAACAATATAACAACATTACAAACTACATTCAATATAATATTACAATAATATTCCAGTCAACATGTTAAAAAACAATGAATGTTAGCAATTATAATATATGAAATTACTCATGTACAATATGAAAACAATATGAAATATGCTTTGAAATATAAAAAAAGATAAACGTGATGAAATCTCACAGAATATACGAGTTTTTTGTAAAATAACAGACAAATTTAAAGAAATTGTGAAACAATCAAATTCGCCATGAAATATTGCAGTTAATTTTTTTTATTTAAACTCTTTTTTAATTTTTTTAATCTTGTTGCCAAATGCTTACTAAAATAATCTAAAAACAAAACAAATAAATAAAAAATAAATCATTTTTAGAGAATAGAAGAGACTTACTGATCGTCAGTTTAGTTCCTCCACCGAAAGTGTACCACAGTGTTTCATTCTAGTGAAAGCGTCGTACAAAAACCTCCGTCACACTCAAATGAACACACACACACACACACACACCAGCAGAGAAAGAGACTAACAACACACACACACACACACACTGATATGAGACTCAACATCATGATTATTGAACTGAAGTGACTTTCACAGAAACAGACTCATCATCTCTAAATGTCTCTTAATGCATGAAAACTATTCAATCTAAATAAATAATATAATCAGAAAGACTCTGTACTGATATTTACACATTAACTGAGAGTTTCTAAATGATTGTGTGTTTCTCAAAGCATTTGAATAAGTTTTGATGACCTGTGACCTCTGGAATGACCTTTGACCTCTCATGGAGTTCACAGTGAAATACTCGTTTCTTTTAGTGATGAAACTCTGTCACTCGATTCATCAGAAAGTCTGAACTCTGAACCAGAGACTCATGCAGAATCAAGAAGAAATGATTTCTAAACTTGTAAAGAAGTGAAAACACACTCATTGATCATGAGAATAAAACACATTAAAGGCATAAACTGGATCAGTTTCGTCTGCATGTTCATGTTCATGTGTGTTTTCCTCCAGCTGGTTTTTGCTCAGAGAGTCACTTTGCATCAGCACGTGTTTCAGCTCTCCGAGTGTTTATAGCCTTCAGACTCACACACTTTATAACACACGGCTGTTTACCACGGTACAAACCCAACACACACCATGAATCTCTTCAGCGGCTTCATCTGGATTCTGACAGCTTTTATTCCAGGTAACAGAAGTCAAAGCTCGTCATTTCTGAGTCTTTAATGTTCATTTCATTTGATGAAACTCATATAATGTTGTTGTCGACAGCATCCAGAGGAATCACTGTGACTCAGCCTGAAGTTGTGACTGTTTCTGAAGGACAAAACGCCACTATAGAGTGTAAAACTGATGCTGGGATATATAGCTGGGGTTTAGCTTGGTATCAGCAGAAACACGGAGAAGCTCCTAAACTCATCATTACTGGGGTAAATGATCTCTATGATGAGAGTCTCAGTCGATTCAGTGGGAATGGAGAATATGAAGGAACAGATTTCACTCTGAGCATCAGTGGAGTCCAGACTGAAGATGCTGGACATTATTACTGTCAGAGTTTACATTGCAGACCAGATTCTGATGGTGATTGTGCGGGTGATTATGTGTTCACACAGTGATAAAGAGTCGTACAAAAACCTCCGTCAGTCAGAGTCACAGTGACTGAACTGAAACTGCAGCTGCTCAACACACACACACACACACACACACACACACACACACACACACACACACACACACACACACACACACACACGACTCAATATGATCTTACTGAACATCATTTTGTTTAGCTTTATCAGTTTTTAACATTTTTTATTGTGATTTTTCAGAAGTCATATTTGTCTCCTGTTTCCTATTACATCCTTCATGTAGAAATTCAGTCACTTTTGATTTTCACTTCAGTGGATATTTTTCAATCCTTCCCCACATTTTTGATAACAATGTCGATGGATTTATTAAATTAATCCCTCATAATGCATATATTAACAGCATCATAACACTTCCCTCAACATCAGAGCTGATGATAATAATTTATATTAATATCTATGTATGGAGGAATTAGCAATTATATATATTTTTTTATTTTTATTTAATTAAAAAAATAAAGACCATGCAGATTACCCAACAGGAGCTGTATACTAACCAAAAACAGCATATGCATGTCACCCTATTATTTTAAATGTATTTTATAAACATTTATAAAGGTCGACATGTTTATATCATGTGTGACTCACAAACTCAGTTATTCAGTGACTGACAGAGACTCGTGTGTGTGATGATCATGTTCATAAACTGCAGGAACACACACGGATTTGGTGTAAATTTGGGAATTAACAGCGACGTTTCACTTCAACTACAGTAAAAAATATTCTCAAAGTCTCACAGTGAAGTCTTGTCTCGCTTTCGGGGCTACAGATTATATAATCCACTGAATAAAACTATATAATCTATTGAATAAAACTATAGTTTTTTATCCTGCTAAGAGAACCGACGGCCAGCGCTGCAAACTTTCTGAAGTGACATTACATATAAATGCTGGATTCACTCTGCATGGATGTGACGTTATAATAGTAACACATTAAAGCAATATAAAGGCAGACTAAAAGATTAATAGAAATATATAGCAAAATATATATTTTTCAATTCTATTCCAGTTATTGGTAAAAGTGATGACATGTAAATAATGTTAAATGTCTCGCTGTACACTGTATGGTGGAGCCGTTGCTGAAGTTTAAATCTGAACTTTACTATAGAAAACCTTCAGTGATTTGAGTCTGGATCCGGATCTGCTCATATTCAGATATTCAGATTAATATACTGAAGTTGGTCTTGTAGATGTAATCAGAACTGAATTGAATGATATAATCTTTAACATTTTGACTATTGTAGAGGATACAATATTATGAAAAACATTCATTTCTACTCTGTTCTCACTTCAGTAATTGTGTTTTGTGTCTGTTATTGAGTGACTGTCTTCAGGGAAATGATGTGGAGTGTGTTTGCATATTGATCAGATCTTCAGTGTGTGAGAGTGTTTATAGTGCTGTGAGTTTAACACTTCACCACTGACACACACAACAATCTTCATCAACATGACCTTCATCATCATCTTCCAGAGATGGGGACTCGAGTTTGAGACTCGGACTCGAGTGCGACTTAAGTCCCACACACAGTGACTTCAGACTCGACTTGAGACTCGTCCTCGAAAGACTTCAGACTCGACTCGGACTCGAGCTGCGGGACTCGTGAACAAAGTTTATTTTTAGGAAACGTCTGATGAGCTCGCTGTTATCCCCCTCCCTCCGTTACAGCCTGCCTACGTAACCACGTACTACGTGGTCTATTGCTGCTGGCAGCGCGCGCGCGACCACACATGAAAGGAAAACAAACAAAAAGTTCGACTGCACCGGCCGTCGCTGTGCCATTCATCGTTAGCTTTGGGTTCAAAAACTTCAAACAAGACGCGCTCAAAAGAAGCGCTCAATGCAAAATATGCAGTATCACGATAAAATATTCTGGCTCAACTACATCTAATTTTATCAGGCATCTGAAAACGCACCCTGATAGGTGAGTAAACATGTTTAGCTCAGCATTGACCATCTACCGTTAGCTTGCTTATTGCTTTAGCTACCTAACGTTACGGGAGGTTAACTCCGATTGTCTTCCTTATGAAATATGAATGAGCGTTTGTTTAATTGCCAAACTTGTGGTGGTTGATTAACGTAACGTTAATCATTTACGTGCCGCTGGCTGCCCGTTGTCTACAAACATGTTACAGGATTATTGTTGTTTATGTAACGTTACAGTTTCATTTAGTTATAACGTTACACTGGTTTGAGAGTCTGGGATGTGTTGACTTACAGTATATAAGCTATGATTAGTTGCATAGGCAGTGCAGCCAGAAGAAGCCAGACATGTTTTGTGGCCCATACCTAGTGTGTTAAGAGAAGAGAAGGTTAACCAGTCTGATCTCACCCTTTGGATTTTTTTTATTTCTAAACATTTTGTTCTTAACAAGTTACATGCCATAAGTTGGTCAGTTGCTTCACATTTACACTAAAGATTTTGAGCATTTGAATGTTTTGGAAGTGCACTGTAGTGTTAAAAATTTCATTTGGATGCAATAGTTTATTTGCATTTAGATACACTGATGTTTTTCACTAATAGGAGTGTGTCAATTTTAGTGTTGTGAGTTATATCATTTTCTATATTTGGTCTTATGTCTTGGTATGTTCAAGCTACAAGGCAAAATAAAGAAATTAACTAAAGGTGAAGCATTCTTGGTGTTTTTAATCTTGTTGCCAAATGCTTACTAAAATAATCTAAAAACAAATTTGCAATAGCCTGTTTATACTGATTATATACCAAATTCAAAGCTGATACTGTATGCTAATAGATAAAGGAGTCCTAATAACATACCGTACCACTTTATTTTGATAGTCCACTTTATACATTCTACTAACTATAAGTAACTTTGCAGCTGCATGTCAACTAAATCTCATTAGAGTATTAGTAGGCTTAATATCTGCTAATTATATATTATAATTTCTAATTTTGTTGGTTCCCCAACAGATATTCTACTGACTTCTAGTTGACATGTAGTTGAAAATGTACATGGTTAGTTGAATGTCTAAAGTGGACTATCGAAATAAAGTGTAACCTAACATATTACATGCTTTGAATTCCTTATATAAAGCTATGCAGTGTTCTAAGCAACCTGGATGGGTCGCTGTACGTGATGCAACACTTATAACCACAAGAGACTTGAGACTTGACTTGGACTCTAGCTCAGAGACTTGAGACTTGACTTGGACTCTAGCTCAGAGTCTTGTGAGCATCTCTGTCATCTTCATCTGGACTCTCACAGCGTTTGCTCAAGGTTTGTGGAGCATAAGTTTGATATTAATTCATTTCTTCAAGTATATTGTCAAAGTTTTGAGTGTATTTTCTTCTTGTTGTGTTTCAGAGTGTAGAGGACAGATCACCGTCACTCAGAGTCCCTCAATAACAGCAGAACAACCAGGAGGAACTGTGAATATCAAATGTAAAACCAGCAGAGATGTGTACAGTGTTGGTTCTGTTTATATCTTATCCTGGTACTTACAGAAACCTGGAGAAGCTCCTAAACTCCTGATTTATTACGCAAACCGCCTCCAGTCGGGAACTGCATCTAGATTCAGTGGCAGTGAATCTAACAGTGATTTCACTCTGAGCATCAGTGGAGTCCAGACTGAAGATGCTGGACATTATTACTGTCAGAGTTATCATTGCAGAACAGATTCTGATAATTATTGTGTGGGTGATCGAGTGTTCACACAGTGATAAAGAGTCGTACAAAAACCTCCGTCAGTCAGAGTCACAGTGACTGAACTGAAACTGCAGCTGCTCACACACTTTCACACACACAATGGTGAGGATTTTCATGGATAAAAAAACAGAGAATTAGAAATGAACATATAATGAACATTTTTATTTTATTTTTTATTTCAGGTCATTGATACGTTTTACAAACAAGAATCTACTGAAAAAGATAGATTAGGAATAGAAGAGCTTGTGTTTCTCTATAATGTTTGTACTTGATTCACTTTATCAGCATTAAACTTTTAAAAAGTTGATCTGAATGTTTTTAGAGAAGAATTTTCACTAAGCCTGTGATCACCAAAGCGATGAAAGTCATATTGAAGTTATATGAAGTCATTTTCATGATCAACCTCACTGAAACTCACTTTGGTTTAAAGCATCAAAGATCAGATGTGAAGAAACACAAGAACTGCAGGAATTCACTGCAATTTAAGACGGCAACATTAGAAATTGAGGGTAAAACTTTGTATAAAATCACAAAACAAACGTTGTGTGTCACATCTATTATAACTTTATACGATATGAATCACAATTACTCCTGAAGAATCAGACAGAGCTGATCATTAAGAGAAAATACTATAAACATCTTTACAGTGTTAACTGACAAACATTCAATGTGTCTTATTACACACACACACACACACACACACACATTTTACCTGTCTATCTGGGATGTTTGCTGCAAATCTTTGCACACTATCAGCTAAAGGTTTCTGTATTTCTGGGTTTGCATTATTTCATTATTAGGTCATTATGAAAGGTTGACTGTTCCCCGTCTGTGGACTTGTGAATGGCACTAATGACAAAGTGACATTGAGAAAGTAACACGGTATAAAGAAAACATGAGAACATGAAAACATATAAAATATTAGATAATATATAAGACAAAAATAGCATTACATGTAATATTTCTAAAGTGTTATCCTTTATTGTGTACATATATGTTCCCATATAAATGTGAATGTATGTTCACACATATAATACACACACATTCATGGAATGAGTTACAACAGATTTCTAGTTCCCAGCATGCTTTGCTTTTGACTATTAAAGGAGAGTAAATGTTAAAATTAAGTGTTATTTAATGTGTTTTGCTCAATATTAATATAGGGGAGATCTGTTCTATTATTTTGGAATTTAAAATGTTGTCTGGTATGTGTGAGTTTTGGGGTTAGCATTGTGCTGAAGAGTAGAGTCTGTGGTTAGGTTGACCATTGGTCAGAGTTTATTATATATTGAAAGCAAAGGTTGTGCACTCCTCAGCACAGCGATCTCTTGGTCAAATACTTTAGTACATGCAGGTGTGCTTGTGCTTTTGTTAACTGCTTTGAACATTGAAGACATTTATAATGAAAAAAATATATAAGAAATATTTTACATGATATATTTCTCTGTGTGTTTATGCTGCATTAGTAAATATATCTGCAATATATACTTTTAAACCATTTAATATATTGATAATTCATAGGGAAATATATTTTGCCTGCTCATTATTGATCTGTTTCAGCGTGTCTTGGTTCATTTAGTTCATCACTGTCTATTAAACACCTTTTGCCTGTATTCAGTGTGAAGTCTTGTTTGTTCTGGTGTGTGTGTTACTGTCAGCATTCTCGATCTCTTTGTTTCTGGTGATTCTCTCAGTCTGAGTCTTGGGTTTCTCGTTCTCGTCTGCGTCTGTGGATTTTGTTCGGACTGATAACGTGTGTTTTGACGCTCTGCCTGATATATGGACTATGACTTTGGATTATACTTGTAAATAAACTGCATTTGTATCCTCACTCTCTGCTGAATGCTGTTTCCACCATCAAAACATCACAACATCAAATCACTGACTTCACCAGCTTTATGATGATCATCATTACTGAATTACTAACTGAATTTATAAAAGTTAACATGTTCATATCATGTGTGACTCACAATCAAACTCAGTTATTCAGTGACTGACAGAGACTCGTGTGTGTGTGTGATCCTCATGTTCATAAACTGCAGGAACACGGATTTGGTGTAAAATTTGGGGATTAACAGCGACATTTCAATTCAACTACTTTCAAAATATTCTCAAAGTCTCAGAGCAGATATTCAGATTAATATACTTTAGTTGGTCTTGTAGATCATAACTGAATTGAATGATATAATCTTTAACATTTTGACTTGTAGAGGACACAATATTATGAAAAACATTCATTTCTACTCTGTTCTCACTTCAGTAATTGTGTGTTGTGTCTGTTATTGAGTGACTGTCTTCAGGGAAATGATGTGGAGTGTGTTTGCATATTGATCAGATCTTCAGTGTGTGAGAGTGTTTATAGTGCTGTGAGTTTAACACTTCATCACTGACACACACAACAAACTTCATCAACATGACCTTCATCATCATCTTCATCTGGACTCTAACAGCGTTTGCTCAAGGTTTGTGGAGCACAAGTTTGAGATTAATTCATTTCTTCAAGTATATTGTCAAAGTTTTGAGTGTATTTTCTTGTTGTGTGTTTCAGAGTGTAGAGGACAGATCACCGTCACTCAGAGTCCCTCAATAACAGCAGAACAACCAGGAGGAACTGTGAATATCAAATGTAAAACCAGCAGAGATGTGATCAGGGATCGTGATGGGGATGATTATATATTCTGGTACTCACAGAAACCTGGAGAAGCTCCTATACTCCTGATTCGTTATGCAAAAAAACTCCAGTCAGGAACTCCATCTAGATTCAGTGGCAGTGGATCTAACAGTGATTTCACTCTGACCATCAGTGGAGTCCAGACTGAAGATGCTGGACATTATTACTGTCAGAATTTGCATTGCAGAACAGGTTCTGATAATTATTGTGAGGGTGATCGTGTGTTCACACAGTGATAAAGAGTCGTACAAAAACCTCCGTCAGTCAGAGTCACAGTGACTGAACTGAAACTGCAGCTGCTCAAAGGAGGATCTGAAATAAAACCATCTAAATGAAGCTCTTTAATAGATTATAGAGGTCAGAAATCATACGTTGAGAGAAACAACTAGACAAAGTCCATCAGTGTCTCTGCCAGAGTCTCAGTGCTATTTTCATAATCTCTTTAAGGAGGAGAATAAAAATATGGTGGAAACCGACAGACTGACTGATCTCTGAACAGCTTTGATATTTTGTGCTCTTATAGATCAGTGATATGATTGAGATCTATGTAATATTGGATCTGTCAAATACAGTCAAGAGCAAGTTACAGTTTTTACACACGTTTTCAAAACTAAGTCTCCTTTTTTCAAAACTCTACACACAATTCTCAAAACTGCACATACAAAATGCAAAATGCCTCATATCTCCTTTAAAATGTAACACTGCATTCAAAATGCCATAAACACATGTCAGAATGAAGCATTTGCATCAAATGGCAAACACTTCTTTCATAATAATAAATTTTTGGGTATACCATGTAAACACTGCTGTTCTAAATCTAAAGCTCTTTGGTCTTTCATACGCTTATATCTACATTTCAATACAATGTTCTACAGTGAAAGTAATCTGCTGAGAGGGGTAACAAGTACACCGGAAACGCCAATGCAATGTTGAAACAGAAAATATTTATTAGGCCAAACATTACTGTTGTATACATTAGCATACAACAAAACTATAAACATTTACGTAAACCAAAAGTATATTCTTTACAGTAGAATACAGTAAATTGTGTGTGGGGTCCCGGTCCAGGAATTGGCAGGGGGGGAGGGGGGGGGGGGGGGTGCAGTCCCCAGTGCTTAGCTTCATCTCTTCTCCGAGCTGGGTCTGGCCACAATACTTCGTCCACATCACAAGATACGTTTTCTCTTGCCAAACATCGAGGGAAGTATCTCCTAGCATGGCGTATCCAACCTTGGACAGAGGCAACCTCTATGTCCCCACATGCGTCCTCCATTGCCTGGAGAAGCGGCATGCGGGCATAGGGTTGGCGATCATACACTTTCCAGCGCCAGGCTGAGAAGAATTCCTCTATGGGATTTAGAAAAGGTGAATATGGAGGTAGGTACAAAACTACAAATTGTGGATGGGTGGCAAACCAGTTTTGGACCAGAACAGCCCGGTGAAAACTAACATTGTCCCACACAACCACAAATCTAGCAGGCGCCTGATCTGGATCAGGGACAAGCATTGTGTGAATTGCATCCAGAAAAGTGAGTATATGGCCGGTGTTGTATGGACCCATTGTGATGGAGGACCCCGTTTTGAGTGATGGCAGCACACATGGTTATATTACCCCCACGCTGTCTAGGGACATTGGTAATTGCCCTCTGTCCTATTACATTTCGTCCACGGCGCCTGGTTTTGGTGAGGTTGAAGCCAACCTCATCCACATAAATAAATTCGTGGCGAATTACATGGACATCCATCTCCAATACTCTCTGTAACAGACCAAATTATATACAGATGAGTAAATATGGTATGTCTGAAGTACTGGAAGTAGTGTTGCATACATACCTCTACAAAGTCATGTCGCAGATTCTTGACTCTGTCAGAGTTTCTCTCAAATGCCACCTTGTAAAGTTGTTTCATCGTCACTTGGTGCCGTTGGAGGATGCGTTGTATGGTCGACAGGCTTACAGCATCGATGTTGTTGAATATGGTGTCATTATTCAAGATATGCTCTCTTATCTCTCGAATCCTAATTGCATTGTTGGCCAAAACCATATTTATAATTGCAGTCTCTTGTACATCTGTAAACAAGCGTCCTCGTCCTCCATGATGTCTTTGCCTTTCCACTCTGTACAGAATTCAAACACAGTATGTGTTCAGCATAAGAACTGTAAACCATTTACAAAAAAAAAAAGTAGTACAGCATGATAACCATCCTCATTCATTCAATGCAATGCAATGCAGTAAATGGATGGCTTAGAGTTACACATGTTTATGCAATACTATGCAGTCATACGTATTTTACAGTACATTACTATAATGCTAAAATAGTCATTAGATAGTTGCATACCTGTTCTCATTTCTGAAGGTTCGAATTATGGACGCCACTGTAAATCAACTCAAGTTGGGCTGGACTCTCAGTCCAGCCTCTCTCATGGTCAAACCGTGGTTGATTACATGATCAACAAGTGTTGCCCTAATCTCATCAGATATGGCTCTCCTTCCTTCTCTTATTTGCCCTCGTCCTCTTCCTCCTCATCCTCTTCTTCTTCCTCTTCCTCCTCCTCCTCTTCATCTTCTTCCTCCTCTTCTTCCTCCTCCTCTTCTTCCTCCTCCTCTTCTTCCTCCTCCTCTTCTTCCTCCTCATCCCCTGCCTCTTCCTCTTCCCCTTCCTCCTCCTCCTCCTCATCTTCCTCCACCTCCTCGTCCCCTGCCTCTTCCTCCTACTCCTCTTGCTCTCTGTTCTTTGTTAGCATCCATTGTTCAAAACAGGCAATCTGACCTTTGACCTATTTATAGGCCTATCTATACTAAAGTAAAGCAGTGATTGGTTAGTGATCAGTTAAGCAATTAGTGTTTGCACATGTGAGGAGTGTGTCTGTGTGACCTGGTGAATAAGTGTAGCATTTTGATTGGTTGTGTTTGGAAAAGGAAAGCAAGTCACTTCCTGATAGATCTTTGTGTTTTAGGTATGAATTGTGTGTAGTGTTTTGAAAAAAGTGTTTTATGCAATTGAAAACTGAGTCAAAGGCTGAGAAATAGCTTATGGTTTTGAAGATTTGGCATGTAGTTTTGCACTTTGAGTGAGAGGTTTCAAAAATCGTGTGACATGAAAAGATTTTGTGTGTAAGCAGTTGGTAAAAACTGTAACAGTACAGTATCAACTTACACTGGATAAACACACACAGTCCCCTATGTACACACACACAGTCCTCTATAAACACACACAGTCCTCTATGAACACACACACAGTCCTCTATGAACACACACACAGTCCTCTATGAACACACACAGTCCTCTATGAACACACACAGTCCTCTATGAACACACACACAGTCCTCTATGAACACACACAGTCCTCTATGAACACACACAGTCCTCTATGAACACACACACAGTCCTCTATGAACCACACAGTCCTCTATAAACACACACAGTCCTCTATAAACACACACAGTCCCCTATGTACACACACACAGTCCTCTATAAACACACACAGTCCTCTATGAACACACACACAGTCCTCTATGAACACACACACAGTCCTTTATGAACACACACAGTCCTCTATGAACACACACAGTCCTCTATGAACACACACACAGTCCTCTATGAACACACACAGTCCTCTATGAACACACACAGTCCTCTATGAACACACACACAGTCCTCTATGAACCACACAGTCCTCTATAAACACACACAGTTCTCTATAAACACACACAGTCCTCTATAAACACACACAGTCCTCTATGAACACACACACAGTCCTCTATGAACACACACAGTCCTCTATGAACACACACACAGTCCTCTATAAACGCACACAGTCCTCTATGAACACACACACAGTCCTCTATGAACACACACAGTCCTCTATGAACACACACAGTCCTCTATGAACACACACACAGTCCTCTATGAACACACACAGTCCTCTATGAACACACACAGTCCTCTATGAACACACACACAGTCCTCTATGAACACACACAGTCCTCTATGAACACACACACAGTCCTCTATGAACACACACAGTCCTCTATGAACACACACACAGTCCTCTATAAACACACACAGTCCTCTATAAACACACACACACACACAGTCCTCTATAAACACACACACACACAGTCCTCTATGAACACACACACACAGTCCTCTATAAACCCTCTATGAACACACACAGTCCTCTATGAACACACACACTTTCCTCTATGAACACACACACAGTCCTCTATAAACACACACACAGTCCTCTATAAACACACACACACACAGTCCTCTATAAACACACACACACACACACACAGTCCTCTATAAACACACACAGTCCTCTATAAACACACACACACACACAGTCCTCTATAAACACACACAGTCCTCTATAAACACACACACACACAGTCCTCTATAAACACACACAGTCCTCTATAAACACACACACACACACAGTCCTCTATAAACACACACACACACAGTCCTCTATAAACACACGCAGTCCTCTATGAACACACACAGTCCTCTATGAACACACACAGTCCTCTATAAACACACACACTTTCCTCTATGAACACACACAGTCATCTATGAACACATACACAGTCCTCTATGAACACACACAGTCCTCTATGAACACACACAGTCCTCTATGAACACACACACTTTCCTCTATGAACACACACAGTCATCTATGAACACACACACACAGTCCTCTATGAACACACACAGTCATCTATGAACACACACACACACACAGTCCTCTATAAACACACACACACACAGTCCTCTATGAACACACACACACAGTCCTCTATAAACCCTCTATGAACACACACAGTCCTCTATGAACACACACACTTTCCTCTATGAACACACACACAGTCCTCTATAAACACACACACACACAGTCCTCTATAAACACACACACACACACACACGGTCCTCTATAAACACACACAGTCCTCTATAAACACACACACACACACAGTCCTCTATAAACACACACAGTCCTCTATAAACACACACACACACAGTCCTCTATAAACACACACAGTCCTCTATAAACACACACACACACACAGTCCTCTATAAACACACACACACACAGTCCTCTATAAACACACGCAGTCCTCTATGAACACACACAGTCCTCTATGAACACACACAGTCCTCTATAAACACACACACTTTCCTCTATGAACACACACAGTCATCTATGAACACATACACAGTCCTCTATGAACACACACAGTCCTCTATGAACACACACAGTCCTCTATGAACACACACACT